TGTTTTGGGGAAGCATTGCAATGCAGAGGATGAGGCAACACTGGGGCAAGAAAGGATCTCCTGGGGTCCGTTCTTCCCATGGTTGCTTGCTGCCACCGTTGCAGGTCCTGACTCTCCCTGTGCTCCTTGTGCTTTGCAGGCTTCCTACCTCACATGGGGTGTCCTCCAGGAGCGTGTGATGACGAGAACGTACGGTGCCACCGAAACGGACCCTGGTGAGAATTTCAAGGACTCCCAGTTCCTAGTGTTCATGAACCGCATCCTGGCCTTCACAGTGGCTGGTCTGTACTGTGCCCTGACCAAGCAACCGCGCCACGGGGCTCCTATGTACAAATATTCCTTTGCCTCCCTCTCCAACATCCTCAGCAGCTGGTGCCAGTATGAGGCACTCAAATACATCAGCTTTCCCACCCAAGTGCTGGCCAAGGCCTCCAAAGTGATCCCGGTGATGATGATGGGCAAACTGGTGTCACGCAAGAGTTATGAGTACTGGGAGTACCTGACTGCTGCCCTCATCTCTGTGGGCGTCAGCATGTTCCTGCTCTCCAGTGCTCCCAACAGGCACATGTCCACCGTCACCACCTTCTCAGGCATAGTCCTCCTGGCTGGCTACATTATCTTCGACAGCTTCACCTCCAACTGGCAGGACGCCCTTTTCACCTACAAGATGTCTCCCGTGCAGATGATGTTTGGCGTCAATGTTTTCTCCTGCCTTTTTACGGTGGGCTCGCTCTTGGAGCAGGGTGCCTTGCTGGAGTCAGTACACTTCATGGCCCGCCACTCGGAATTCATGGCCCACGCCGTGCTGCTCTCGGTGTGCTCTGCCTGCGGCCAGCTCTTCATCTTCTACACCATCAACCAGTTCGGGGCAGCCGTCTTCACCATCATCATGACGCTCCGCCAGGCCTTTGCCATCCTCCTCTCTTGCCTCATCTACGGGCACACTGTCACTGTCGTGGGTGGGCTGGGTGTAGCTGTTGTCTTCATGGCCCTCTTCCTCCGTGTCTATGCCCGCAGCCGCATGAAGAAGCGCAGTAAGAAGCTCCCACCGGGCGAGACCCCTGTACAGAAGGTCTAAGGAGCTGGAGCCATGGCATTTAAGCCATGCCTGCTGTCCTGCCTCCGCTTGGAGGTATTTGCTTGATTTCTCAGAACCCACTGAGGAGCAGGGTGGGGTATGGATAGGCTGGGCCCGAGTGACTCACTTTTCCACCTGCTTTTCCTGGGGAAGGGGCTGGAACAAGCCCAGGGAATGCTCTGGGCTGTCACAGCTCCAAACTTTTCCATTTGCCTTAAAAGGTGAAAGACTTCCAGCCAAGATGCAAGCCTGAGGGCTCACATCCTGGGGGAAAACTAGTATCAGGCTGCTGATACTCTTGCCCCCACCTGTCTTGTGGCTTCTCTCCGAAGTCGCTGATGAACAAGGGAGCCCTTTTCCCTGGCTAATACTCCTCCGTTTCTGTCACTACTGTAGATCTCAGCAGGAGGAAAGGGCAGGCAAAACACTAGCTTTCTTTCTGAAATACCTCCACGTGAGGCAAGCCCCAAGCCGAGCTTAGACCCCTCCCAGGAGGTGCTCTAAGAAGGACAGGCACAGCTAAGGGAAGGACTCCCAGCCTGTCCTGCCCCAGGCCTGGTACCTGCTCTGGGAATACACTCTGCAATGAAAGCCGGTACCTCCCATTTTGGTTTTATCTATTCCTTGCCCCTGCTCTGAGACACTTTTCTTCACTCTCCTCAGTCCAGACTGTTTCTTACACAGAGAGTGAGGCTAGGTGGCACGGTTCCTAAAGCTTGCTGAGTTCTAGGTTGCTTTTTGGTTACATCCTCTGCTGTTACAGGCCAAAGGCTGCGCTGCCCAGAAGCCCCAGCATCACCTCAGGGTGTCTTAGTGCCATGGTTTCCGGGCTTCGCAGCTGCCATTCAGAGAAGCACAAACAGCCCCTCTTCCTGCCAACTGGAGGCATCATCCACAGCTCTCCTGGGGCCTGGCCAGAGCCCCCCTGTGCTTGGAGGGCTGAGAGATGGTGCAGAGCCCACTTGCAGTGCCTTGTTCCTGCTGCACCACGGGCAGCAGGGGATGGAGCACGTGGGCACCTCCTCACCAGGCAGCAGGAGATGGAGCAGTGAAAGCTGCTCATCCCCAGAAGCCTGGGTTTTACTGGTCAAATCCTTTTCTTCTGAACACAACCTGACTGACAAGCCAGCAGGTTTTGGTACTTTTGAAAGTCAACTTTTTTCTTTTTATTTTATTAAATTAAAAAGATGCTGCATATGGTGCCCTAGGGGTAAATGTTTTTTGGGTTTTTTTTCTCCCTGTGTACCTGGAAGGAGGGGAGAGATGCCCCAACCCATCCTGCGTCCCTAGTCTCTCTGGGACAGCAAAGCTGTCTTTCCAAATACAAGTGCCTCTGTCGTTGCCCAGACAAGTATCAACCAGGTTTGGACCCAAAACTGTAAGACCCAGCACAAGATCCCTGCACACACAACTGGTGATCACAGCCAGGTTTGGCCCCCTGCTTGGGCAGCTGGAGGAGCTGTTAGCCTGCTTCTGGTTTGGCTCGTGGGTTCCCTGCGTGGTACGGCTTGGGCAGCTCCAATGCATGTAGCTACAAAAGCATCACTAGAGAAATGTGGTGCGGAGGCCTGCCAGCCAGGGTCACCAGTGCTGTAAGCAAGGCCCTGGAGGAGCCCATCCTTCGTGGGGTTCATCTGTACCAAAATGAGCTCCACAGGCCCCAGACCAGAGCCAGGGGAGGCTTGGGGTGTGGATGGTACATCCTGTGGGTACATATGGGAGGCCCGATAAGAACTTCAGCTGTAGGCCTATGCAATGTAGGCAGTGTGAGGTTTGAGGGTCAGACAGGACCTTGGCTTAACAGGGCTAGAGAAAGGGGAAGCTCAGGTGATGGCTACAAGAGAAACAGGAGACTAGGAACAGGAGGTTCTTATTCTCACTGAGTTAGCTGAGGCAGCAGGGATAACAAACTGGTGCTAAGCACGTCCCAGGCTTCAGAGTACTTGGCTTTCCCCACGGTTTTACCTACCTGTACTCCTTTCCTAGCTCTGAGCTCTTCAAAGTGCCTGTACAGCTTCACAGCCCGTTGTCCTGCTCTTACAAATTTCCCCCAAACGTCTGCTCTGACCACCTGCTGACAGACTGAAAATGGATTTTTTTTTTGTTTGGTCAAAAAAAACCAACCAACAAACCGCTGTCTGCTAGGGTGGGTGCAGGGTAAGTTTTCTAATTTAAATGTAAATTTAAAAGAAAAAAGTGGAAAAAAAAAAGAAACAAACCCAAAACATTCTAATTTAAGAAGAAATGACTACTGATTCATTATTTGGCAAAATCTTCCTATTCAGAGAGAAATACTACTTTTAAAAATTTTATTTCTATCTCAAAGAAAACCACCCTGAAGGCATTTGCTAGCTCAGCTCCAGCACTGCCCTAGCAGCCTTAACCCAAATAGCTGCCAAACTAGCCGCACCGTGCCCCAAGCGCCTTGGTGAGCAGCAAAGGATTCAGGCACGCTCTGCCTCTTCCCTCCCCACTAAAGGATACAGGCTAAAGCCCACTCTTTTTTGTGCCTGTGATTGCTAGTAAGCAGCCAGCAAGAGAACTTGATGTTGGTGTCACTTTTCTCTGACAAACCCCAGGGCCATTGTAGGTGACAAACCCTGCTCACCAGGTGTGAACTCAGCGCAAGGGGTGGATGAATGAGGTGATGCCCCAGGCTGCTCCATCATCTGGGTCACAGGCAGAAAAGCCAGGGAGGGGCTAGATACTGCCAAAAACCCCAAGGCTCTAGAAGGCCAGAAAGGGCAGGACAGAGGTGTGAGGAAAGGGGAGAGACTACAGCATGGAGCCTTTTGTCCCAAGAGCTGAAGAGAGGCAGCCCAAGTAGAGTCCTGAGCTGTCACTCCACCCTCTTGTTCTGCACTGCAAGGGAACCCACGCTGCTCCTGTGGCAGGGACTTAGACCTGCAGGCTCAGGTCCTGGCCCAGCCTGCCCAGCTGACACTTGCAGGTTACAAAGGCTTCTTGTTCCCAGGCTTAGGGGCATGCAGCCTTCTAGATGAAGAACTACTCCCTGCTGGAGATGACCCCATCTGCAGAGCAGGTCATGTATTTCTCCTACCCACTTCATGGTGCCTGGACAAGGAAGGGGTAGACATCACCTAAAGCAGGACTCTGAAAACAGTCAGGGCAGGGGAGAGACCAGCGGCCTGATACTCTCAGGCACAGGCTGAGACCTGTTCCTCTGTATGGCAGGCATGAAACACAGTGGATCCCACCATGAAAATCACATTCTTCCATACTTTAATTCCAGTAGAACAAAACAACAGAGAAAAAAAAAACAAAAACCAAAACCAAGCTAAGCCGACCAAAATAAAATATCCTGCCCTGCAGGTTCAGGGAGGCCATAGCTCAGAGAAAGGGCTCTCCCATCCTGCTGGAACAAGAGGAATGTTTGATGCCAACTGGGAAAATGTGAGACCCCATGGTAAGGGACAGGGGAAGTCTGATGCCTCCACACCTCATCAGCTATTCCTACACAGGCAGAAAGACACAGAACAGGCAGGCCTCAGGCTGCCCGAATCACTCACTACTGACAAAAGAGGGAATCATGCCCATCTGCTCTCTGCCAACCTCAGCGAAACAAATCCAGAAAAAAAGACACCACCGAGGAGTAAGTTGCAGCTGGTGGAAGCAAACCCCCTTCTACGCAGATATGATACATGGCAGAGGCCTGGCGGGTGAGGGAAGCATCTTCCTCCTACTTTAGTCTACCTCTTCCATGTGGGATGCATCTTCATCTCCCTCCAGAGGGGGGGTTTCATGGGGGATTTCATCAGCAGCAGCTGCACTGGGCTCCTCTGCAGTCACCTCATCTTCATCGATGCCTAGGAGAGTGGGGAGGAAAGGAATGGATGAGGCCTCCGAGTGACATCTGATCCCAGAGGTACAGCCTGTCTCACAGCAAAGGCTGTCTCCTGCCTGCAGCCTAAGGGACGGGGGTATAAGGATCCAGTAGTTAGGCCAAGCTACAGTACCTCCTGGTTTACATTTTTAGCTAATAAACAGCCAATTTGGAGGAAAAAAAAAAAGTTGGGTGCAAGCACAAGCTGCTTCACAGGATGGGTCATATCTCCCATGACAGACTTTTGACATTCACTCTGAAGAAATAAATAGAAGCAGCTCATCATCTGAGCAGCCTGGTGGTAGCTCCTGGTCTTGTGGAAGATCAGAACACTCCACTCAGAGCCCTGAGCCTCCACAAGTACCTTGTTCCAGGTTTCCACATGCTCCTCATGTCCATAGCCAGTTCAGCCCACCACGCCCGCTTGGCTCACTTACTGGCCTCCCCCTGCTCCAAGCCAGTTACGCGCTGGCCTGACCAGCTACCCTGCTTTCAGGCCCAGGAAGCTGCATGGACACCTACCAAGCCCCAGTTTGATCATCCTGTAGATGCGGTTGGAGTGGGTTTGCGGATCTTCCAGGGAGAAACCAGAGGAGAGCAGAGCAGTCTCAAAGAGTAGCACCACCAGATCTTTGACAGCCTTGTCATTCTTGTCAGCATCAGCCTTCTGACGGAGGGTTTCCACAACTGGATGGTCAGGGTTGATCTCCAGGTGCTTCTTGGCAATCATATAGCCCATGGTAGAGTTGTCCCGCAGTGCCTGAGCCTTCATGATGCGCTCCATGTTGGCCGTCCAACCGTAGGTGCTGGTGACAATGCAGCAGGGAGATGAGACCAACCGGTTTGAGATCGTTACCTGCCAATGTAGCCAAGGGTTAGCTGAGCAAGGTGGCCACAAGCCCTGGACCAGGCCCAGCCACAGCACACATAATCCCACAAGTCTTTGCCCCAGGTTCACCTGGGAACACCCCAAAGCAAGCAGAGATCCTTGAAGCAACTCCAAGACTGCTGCGCAGACTAGTTTGGAAAGCTCGGCCAGCACCTTCAGCACACCCATGGCACATTTCCCACACTTACCCTCTCCCATCAATGCACGCATTTGGGTCAGTGCCCCTCACCCGCAGCCTGGCTGCATAGAGCAAGACGGTGCAATGCTGGGACCTCCCGTCTCCTTTAGTGGCTCCTCTGCAGGAGATGAGAGGCATGCATTGAGCTGGGGGCCTTGCCAGCACCACCGAGGGCCCAGCCCTCCTCCCTCCAGCCCAAGGTTGAGCTCCCTGCCCACATCACCTTCTCCACCTTCTTGTCCAGAATCTCCTTCATGAGCTTGCAGAGGGTCTCAAACTTGGCTTTGCTCTCCTCCATCTTCTTTTTCTCTTCCTCATCCTCAGGCAGCTCCAGCCCCTCTTTGGTGACTGATACCAGTGTCTTGCCATCAAACTCCTTGAGCTGCTGCACACAGTATTCGTCAATGGGCTCTGTCATGTACACCACCTCGAAGCCACGCTTCCGCACACGCTCCACAAAGGCTGAGTTGGCAACCTGCTCCTTACTCTCCCCTGTGTTTGGCAGGGAAGGGAGAATGAGATATCAGCAAGATGTAAGAGCTAGTTATGGCAGGACAAAGGGCATCGGTCACTCGGAAGCCCTAGCATACAGCTGGCTGCAGCTGAGGCTCTAGGCCCAGTAGTCTTTCTGCACCCCGACGGATGGGCTGTGATTCAGCTGGGAGGACCTGCTGAAGGCAGCAGGACCTACCTGGAAAAATTTGCTTCAAGCTAGGGCTGTTAGGCAAGTAACCTGCCTCCACCTCACCAGGGCACAGGGGAGCTCTGCCTCACCTGTGATGTAGTAGATACTCTTCTGGGTCTCCTTCATACGGGACACATACTCCGAAAGCGAGGTCACCTCGTCGCCGGACTGGGACGTGTGGTAATGCAGCAGCTCTGAAAGGCGCTTTCGGTTGGTTGAGTCCTCATGGATGCCCAGCTGGGGGCAGAAGAGATACATGAAGCCTCCAGGATGGGACTTGCATGCACCTGGCCACCCCTGAGGCACGGCTATCTCTGCCCACCCCTTGATCACTTGAGTGCTGGGCCTAGTACAGCCAGAGGGGCCAGTTACCCATGAAGGCTCTTTGGGGCACTCACGAGACCCTCTCAATCCTAACACCCATACAGAGAAGATGGCACAGGGACAAGATTGGTCCTCAGGCCACAGGCCCCTCCCTCCTCCAGCTGCAGGGTGCCCAGCTCACCTTCAGATTCTTAGAAAAGGCCTCGTAAAATCTCTTGTAGTTCTCTTTGTCCTCTGCCAGCTCAGAAAAGAGCTCCAAGCATTTCTTCACAATGTTTTTGCGGATCACCTTGAGGATCTTGCTCTGCTGAAGCATCTCACGAGAGATGTTCAGAGGCAGGTCCTCCGAGTCCACAACACCCCGGATGAAGTCTGAGTAGGAGAAATAAAATCAGGAGTCAGGTTAAGAGCTTTGAGCTTCATCGCAGGAGGAAAAGCACCAAGATACTGACTGTGGGGAGTCCCAGCTTTGCAATGGGGGGGCTGAGGCAGGGGGGTTCTTACTTAAGTACTCAGGGATGAGCTCGTCACAGCTGTCCATGATAAAGACACGCCTCACATACAGCTTAATGTTATTCTTCTTCTTCTTGTTCTCAAAGAGGTCAAAAGGGGCACGGCGCGGGATGAAGAGCAAGGCCCTGAACTCCAGCTGCCCTTCCACGGAAAAGTGCTGCGGAGCCAAGAAAGAAAAACAGTTGCCACAGCACCTCCCTTCCACTCCTTCCCCCAGGACCTGCTGCAGGCAGGCAGTTCCTCAGCACTGGGGCTGGCATAGGGGCACAGCAGTGTCTCCAGCATCCAAACATTTCCCCACTGCCCCCTACATGTCAGAGGTCACTGAAATCCAGCAGGTCTGGATGGAGGAGTCATTTCTGCGGCCCAACACCCTCCTGTCCTGCTTCTAGGCTGGCACTGCCAACTCCCCCACCCACATGGGAGTCACAGCACAGGCTGAGGCACCACCAAGTGGTCTGGGAGCCCTCAATCCCACTGAGGCACAACCGTGTGGTGACTCTGTGTATGGGCTGGAAAAGGGCCCTGGGTCTCTCCCTAAAAGCCAAGATGGCCCAGCACCCACCTTGACAGCCAGATGGTCCTCCCAGTCATTGGTGAGGCTTTTGTAGAACTCGCCATACTCCTCCTGCGTGATGTCGTCAGGGTTGCGGGTCCAAATAGGCTTGGTCTTGTTCAGCTCCTCCTGGTCAACATATTTCTCCTTTATTTTCTTGGTCTTTTTCTTCTTGCCTTTGTCTCCTTCCTCCTCATCATCAGAGCCCACATCCTCGATTTTGGGTTTCTCCTCATTTTTGGATGCTGACTCTTCCTCTTCCTTCTCACTTTTCTCCTCCTCCTCTGCCTCATCATCACTGATCTCTTTCTCACGCTCCTTCTCTAGCTGCAGAGAAAGGAATAAGAGTCAGGTTTAGCCCAAGGCAACTGTTACCATGAATCCTTTTGCTCCAAATAAGAGAAATGGGTGTCCTCAAAAGCCAAACATGTGCAGCATATGGAAACCAAGGCCTCTCCTGCAACCAGAACTCAGATGCATCCACAAGCTCATGCAACCAAAATCTATGTCTGAGAAGATGAGACAAAAGGCAGGAAAGCCTCCTCCCTCGATGGCTGGTGTAGGTGACCTCCAGCTGCACAAATCAAAGGCCAAAATCGTGGCTGGATACCCACCACCTGCACCTCCAATAAGCCTCCAGCCTCAAATCACCTCTGGCCACAGAAGCTGGGAGTATAACTGCTCAATACCCAGCAGCCAGGAGCTATGGAAGGGAATGAAAGAGACTATACTCCAGCCTTTTCTGGACTCCTGCTCCCACCACCACCCACCCCTGCCTCCAGTTCCCTCCACTAGGTCCCCACAATCCTTCTCTTACGTACGTAGAGTGTGATAGGGTAGCCAATGAACTGAGAGTGCTTCTTCACCACCTCTTTGACACGCCGCTCCTCCAAGTACTCTGTCTGGTCCTCCTTCAAATACAGGATCACTTTTGTGCCCCGTCCAATGGGCTCACCTAGTTAGGAGAGAAACATGAGGTGTGGATCAGTCTGTTCAACCAAATAACAAGTGACAGGACAAGAAGAAACAACCTCAAGGTGTGCGAAGGGAGGTTTAGATTCAACATTAGGAAAAATTTCTTTACTGAACAGGTTATCAAGCATTGGAACGGGTTGCCCACGGCAGTGGTGGAGTCCCCATCCCTAGAGATATTTAAGTTGTTCAAACATGGTGCTTAGGGACATGGTTTAGTCAAGGACTTGTCAGTGTTAGGTTAATGGTTGGAACTGATGTTCTTAAAGGTCTTTTCGTATCTAGGTAATTCTGCAATTTGCACAGCTTTAATAGACAGAGAACAAGTAGGACCAGCTTCTCAAGCCTAAGCATGGTTTCATACCTAATGTTAACAAGCGTGACTGACAATGCAGCACAGCTCTCAGGAGTATCAGGGAAAGAGGTGCTCATAGCAGAGAAATGCACTTGGTTTTTTTGTACAATACATACCACGGTCAGCTCGGACAGTGAAGGAACCCCCAGCTGATGACTCCCAAGCATACTGCTCATCGTCATTATGTTTGGTAATGACAACCACCTTCTCAGCCACTAGATAGGCAGAATAGAAACCCACACCAAACTGCCCGATCATGGAGATGTCTGCGCCAGCCTGTAAAAGCACAAAGACAGACCAGTGAAGAGACAGGAGATGCCTGCAGCTAATTCACAGCAGCAAAGAACTGGGTCAACATACAGAGAAAGAGGCAAGTGCCAACAGGCAGACAGCCCTACCCTCAGCTCCTCCCTGCTGCTGGAAGGGCAGGGAAGCACCTGGGTAGATAAACACAGCAAAAAAAGCAGCAGAGCTGGGGTTATACCCCAGTGAAAGCCTGTGGCCCAGGCCCTAGGGAACACACACAGCCAAAGACAACCCACCTGCAAGGCTTCCATGAACGCTTTGGTACCGGATTTAGCAATAGTGCCCAGGTTGTTGATGAGGTCCGCCTTGGTCATCCCAATGCCAGTGTCCACCAGGGTAAGCATGCGGTCCCGGGGGTTGGGAATGATATCGATCTTGAGATCCTTACCACTGTCTAGCTTCGAGGGATCAGTCAGGCTCTCGTAGCGGATCTTATCCAGCGCCTGGGGTAGAAGGGGCATGCTCACC